TTTTTGGTAGATTTTCCCATATACATCTTTCTGCTTCATTCGTATTTTATATATATATATATATTTTTAGAATTTGTATCAAATATTAAAATTTAGCTTGAAACTAGTGATTGGATGTAGAGGGGCTTACATTATCTTGTATAGTTGAAGGAAGTATGCATTTCTTTTCCTTCTTCCTTGGAATGTTGTCTGAAGACCGAAGTTTATTTTCTGTCTACACGTATTCTTAGAAACATCTCCAGTGTCACTTATAATAATTGTAAGAAATTTATTCCCTATGAGGTAGCTTATTCCACTATGCCGTGCCCTCTGCATGAGGGCCTAATGCTTTGAAGTTCTTTTCAGCTTTCCTTTTTGACTTAGATTCTTTTCCTGATGTTATCAAGTGCTTTCTATTCTCTCAAAGATGGCTTATATTATGAAACAATTATCCTACCAGTTTAACTCCTGAGAGCATCATCAGACTGTATGTGAAGAGCATGAAGTTCTATAGAAGGAAGGTGCTATGTAAGCTTTTTTTGTTTTTAATTAATTGCAATTATAAAGTATGTTATTGTGTTACTTTTTTTGGAATAATTGAGATATCATTTCAAGCTAAAACAGTTGGCGGTATGGCTGTGGGCTCAATGCATTTTTCATTATTTAGAATAACTTCTTTTTTAGGCTCTCCTTGACCTATTTTAATATCCTGTTATACCCATACTGTTTCATAGTCCCTGGGGTGTGTGTGTGGGGTGGGGGGAGGTAGGCATTATTTTCAGAAGAGATAACAAACAGTTGATTTTTACTTCCCAGCAGTTGACTTTGGGTGAGTCACTGTTTTCTTTTTTGAATTTTCACAGCTTTATTGAGATATTATTTATATCCCCCACAATATACCCATGAATGTATAAAATGCACTGACTTTTTGTAAATTTATGGAGTTTATAGCCATTAACACAATGGAGTTTCAAAATTTTTTCATTACCCTAAAAAATTTCCATGAACCTTTGGTATCCCTCCTCCTCTGCCTTAGGCAACCACTGATCTGCTTACTCTATATGTAAATGTTCCTTTACTGGTCATTTCATGTAAGTGGAATCAGACAATATGTAGTCTTTTGCATCTGGTTTCTTGCTCTTAAAACAGAAAAACAAACCAGTTGCCAATGAGACGGTTTCAAGTCCTGTGGACCCCATGTGTTGCAGAGTAGAGTCACCAGGCCTTTCTTCCAAGGTGCTTCTGGATGGGTTTGAACTGCCAACCTTTTGGCTAGTAATCAAGCACCTAACAACTTTGTCACCCAGAGGTTCATCTGTGCTATATCATCCATCAGTAGTTTGTAGTTTGTTGTTTTCTTTATTTTTGAAGTGTGTTCCATGGTATGGATATATCCCATTTTGTGTATCCATTTATCAGCTAATGAATATTCTTACTATTTTTACTTGGGGCATTATATGAATACTACTACTTTGAACATTTACATGTAAATTTTGTGTGAACATAGATTTTTCTCTTTCCTTGGGTAGTGTGATAGGAATTAAATAATTGCTGGATTGTGTTGCAAGTTTTAAGAAACTGTGGAACTATTTTCCAAAGTTACTATACCATTTTCTATTCCTGCCAGCATTGTGTGAGGGTCCCAGTTTCTCCAAACCCTCACCAATACTTAGTGCTGTCTCACCGATAGCCGCCCAGTTGCTGTCCAGTGGTATCTTATTGCAGTTATGCATTTTTACAATGAAAAATGATGCTAAACACATTTCCATATGCTTATTTGGCATATATATACATATTTTTTTTCTAATAAAATAAATATTCAAATATTTTCCTACTTTTAATTTAGGTTGATGAGTGGTAATAGTTTTTTATGGAACATATTATAGATGTTCTTGATATGGAATCTAAATTCATATAGAATATATTCAAGATTATATTTTGTATTTTATAGACCTGTTCTAATTTTTTTAGATTCAGCCTGAAAGTGCATATGAGCAGTTGATAGTATGTTCCACATTGAGCCCTTGGCCTTGTTTTGGCTGATGGCATTGACTTTCTCCACCCAAAGATGGAGAAAGTCCTTCCCAAAGATGTAGTCAATTTGATTCTTGTATATTCCTTCTAGTGAGGTCCATGGGTATTGTTGTCGGATGTTAAGTGCTGTCAAGTCAGTTCCAACTCATAGTGACCCTGTACAGGGTTTCTGAAAAGCAGCTGGTGAGCTTGAACTGCCAACCCTGAGGTTCAAACCGACCTTGCAGTCCAGTACATTAACCTGCAGGGCCACACCAGTACTCCTCCATGTGTATGTTGTTGTTGTTAGGTGCCATCGAGTCAGTACCAACTCATTGCAACCCTATGCACAACAGAAAAAAACACTGTCTGGTCCTGGACCAACCTCACTATTGTTGCCACACTTTGCCAGTCCATCTTTGTGGACTGTGCCACATTGATGCTGCCACTATGCCAGTCCATCTCATTGGGGGCCTTCCTATTTTTCTCTGACCTTCTTCTACCTTACCAAACATGATATCCTTCT